AAGTGTAACATGAGTAAGAACTTGTTACCAACAAAACTTTAATTGGATACTGATACCATTTCTCATAAAAGGAATGTAATGTATTTTACCTTTCCAGAATAGAATGATGTGATGTGTATAAATAAGCATAAAATAAAAAAATAAAAAATTATGTTTTTTAAAGGTTTCGTACATAACTCTGTATATATTACGAAAAATTTTTGTACATTTTGAGCTATCAAGGTTTTATTAAAGAATTACTCGCTATAAACTTTTTAGAAGAATACTCATTGAGTTATATCTTTTCTGTTTGTTTATTTACTTTTTTTTGTTTTTTTGAATACTTTCTACTCGTTTATCAATGTTTATTCAATATTGAACATGTGTAATAAACTCATCACAACTGTTACAACATAAACTTAATTCAAAAGGTGAAAATTAGAAAAAATTTATCTAATTAATTATAGGAAATTGTTGTTGACTCAGTCTGTTTAATTCAGTTGGTGTGTGTAGTGTGTTGTGGTGTGTGTGTGTGTGTGTGTTGTGTGGTGAATTATTAATTTGCTGATTCATCATTTAAATGTTAAACAAAATGTAATAGTTCTAATTTAATGAGCGTTCTTTATGTGAAGTGTAAAATTCTTATTGTGGTTTATGGTATTACTGGATAAAAATGAAGATGGGAGAGTAAAATTTGAATGGATGAGAGGTCCAGTTCTGATCCGTGTGGAGGAAAACTAATTTTGTGCATGGGATTGAAGGTTACACAAAGATGTTAACGAAGATAGAATAAATTTGTTGAAGGATTTGGTGTGTTTTATGAAAACTATGAGGAGTACAAGGACTAATGATGAAGAGTGATTTTGAAGGTAATGTCTGTGGTGGTATTTGGTGTGTTTTCTTGTGTGAATATGGTGTGTTGGTAATAAAAGGAATGAAATGAGATAGATATGGATCCACAGGTGGTAGACTGGAGGAGATTTATAAATTAGCAGTATATCAAAAAAAGTTAATCTAACATGTGGTGTGCAGGTGTTGTGAAAGGGTGTGATATTAAGGGAAGAATAAATAGATGAGAGTCTTGACGTGATACATAATATGGTTAAGTTAATGTGTTGTGTGTGTGGTTGTGTGTGTGGTGTGTGTTGTGTGTATGTATAAGGATGGATAGCAATAAAAATAGAAGAAAAAATGGGACGAGAAAGGGGGGATGAACGAGTAAGAAGAAAAGTTTTATTTTAGTAACTATGATCTTTAAAATATATAAATGTTATTGTTTAATCTAATATAACAAAATCATAAAAGGGAAGTTGTTCTTGTAAGACTTGTTGAATGGTTGAAGAAAAGTCTAGAAGTGTTAGAATGACTAAGAATAAAGTGAGATTAGTGGAGGTTTGAAATGAAGAATATAGGGTGAACAAATTTTGGAATTTCAGGAACATATGTAGATGGTCATTTCTGTCTGAGAGGTAGATAAATTAGTTAAGTAATAGGATGGGAAACAAGGAGGAAAGGTAGATGGTATTTACAAGTTGACTTCTGTTATTAAAATTAAAGCTTCTCCTAATAATCCTGAAAACAATGTGTACATTTTAATATGCATGGTTATGTGGGTAACAGTAGTTTGACGTAATCAGGATGGTTAGTAATTAATTACTGTTTTAAGATAACAATCGGTAATATGATTCTATTATTTTATTTCGTTGTTGTTGTAGAGAGTTAAGTATGGAACGTTGTTACTCCTGAGAACAAAGTTAAGTGAGGAAAATACAGTTGGTTGTGGATGTAAAACTATGTAAGAGAAATGAATTCATTTAATGAAATGTTTTAGATTATTAGAGGTTTAGAGGTGGTAGTAGAGAAGATTTAGTCATATTGGGAAAGGAAGGCTGAATTTTTATTGTTTAAAAAAGGTTATGTACTAAGTAAGTTAGCTAGCATCGTTATCGAAGATAATGAACATGGTAAGAGGTCCTGGGAATAAAAATTTGTGGATTAGAGTTATTTAATTGTTAAAACCTTATTAAGGTAAATGATCTGAGTAAGTTTAAGTCCATTCCAGAAACATTTGTGAGGGAAGTCAAAAGGAAAAAAAAAGATGCACTTTTGGGTTGTAGGATCTTCGGTGTCTATATTATTAAAATAAGAGGTAGTGTAGGTAATTTTATAATTAGTTAACTAAAATAAAACCATTTGAGAAGTGTTATAGTGATGTTTCATTTTTTGTATTTGGGTTGATATAATTTATAATAAGAAAAAAAAAACAAAGAAAAAAAACAAAAAAGAAAAAAAGAAAATGGGAAATTGAGTGAGAATGAAGATCTACTAAATAATATATATGGTTTAATTTTAAACATTGAAAAAACAGACAAAAGGTGAGGATGAAGATTTTGGTGTGTGATAGGAATGGTAGATCTAGGGTAAATTAAGGCAAATGGGATGTAAGTGACGGGTGGCATGTAAATAAAGTTATATAGGTGGGTATTAAAAAAAAATAGTTAACAGAACGGAAGAGAAAAAGAAGATAAACAAAAGAATTATATGAGAAGGAGCGTGAAAATCATTCATTCAGTTTATTGTGGGTGTGAATATGTTGGCATAAAGAAAAAAGATTTAAAAAAAGATGTAGTTTCGTGTGGTGAAATATTCTGAACTGAATAAATACAAACATTGAGGGTGTTCACTTAAAGAGGAGAACTGAAGTGTTGGGTTCAGAGTTTTTGTAAATTCATTTTGATGCTAGGGAATAAGATACAAAGAGAAGAGTTTTTAAACTGCAAGAAAAGAACATATGAAATGAGACTGAGAAATTTTGTTTTAATTTAATGAAGATAGGGGAAATGGAAATAAGGAGAAAAAAAAAAAACGAAAAAAGAAACAATAAAAAACTGAGATGTAAAAAGACGGAGTAAAAAAATGTGTTAGGGAAGCGTGAATGAGAGAAATGTTTGTAATTGTAAGCCTGTGAGTAACTGGGTGATGTTGGACAGTGGAGACTGAGTTATGTAAAGTGAAATAGTTGAATAAAGAATTGATAAAGAGGGGAGACAAGTAGTTAAACAAAAAAAAGAAAGAGGAATAAAGAAAAAGAGAGAAGATAAAAAAAATGGAGGGATTTGCTAGGTGATAAGAAGGTGGAACTGAAGGAAAAAAATTGGATTACTAAAATCTGGAAAGGAAAGGTGGTTGTAATAGATAGGATTTATGGAGAAAATGTTAAAAAAAGATGGTTGTGTTGTTTATTTTATGCGTTAATGGGTCATCAGATACATAATTTAATATTTATGAAGAAGGATAAATAATTAGGAATAGTTTTATGGAGATGTATAGTATCTAAAGAAAGGTTTTGTGGAACAGTTAGTATCAGGGAGAACTTTAGACAATATATTAACAGACTAATCATAAGATAGTATTGATGCAGGTAATAGATTAGATGATAGTATAGATTAGATAGATGATAGTAGTAGATAGGATAGATGATAGATGGATGTACTGGTATATCTGTGGTTTTCGAAGAAATGGTTGGGTTATGGTAAAGGAGTATTTTGTTTCTCATATGGCAGTTCATTTTTGAAGAAAATGAAAAAAAATAACAAGTTAGAGGTATAAAATTTATAACTATATATAAGTTTGATTAAATATTCCTAGTAGGTTCAGTTTAAATCACTGGGTAGTGTTAAAGTGTAATGGTTTAAATGGAGGGAAAGAGAAAAAAATGTATACTAAAAAAGAGGAAGTGTTAGGGGATTAGAAGGCAGCCAGAGAGAAGTGTGTGTAATAGAATTTATAACAAAATTAAAACAAACTTAGGAACTGTATGAATGGTTGATAAAAAAATAATAAACAAAAAAAGAGAGATTATTTGGAAATAAAATGATGATGAATACGATGTGTATCGGAACAGTCATGATCATTGAATTTCTTACTTCCATTTAAAAAATAGAAGTAAATATTGCTTCTACTTAGTCATGAATGATATAAAAAAGAAACAAAAAATTGGTGATGATGAAAATAATTAGATGTTTATTATTGTAAGTTTAGTGGTGTGAAATTGGTCCGTTGGAGGGGTATATGTGTTGTGTTTGGTGTATATAACAGCATGAATGAGAAGCCAGAAGTTTGAGGCATTGTCAAGATTAAGTTGAGGAAAAAGTTCTAAAAATTTAATTAAATAATAATATGATAAAATTAAAATACTTTATTTTTGTCAATTTGTAATTATACAGTAGGATAATTAGTGAAACGAAAGGGTAAAGTGGCTTTTGTGGTGTTAGTTATTTAGATACGTAGATTAAAGTTAAGAGATATTGAGCTTTAATTAGGTTGAAAAAAAAATGTTGTCTATCTTAGGTGAGTGAAATGGTAGTTTGTATTTAATAAATTGAAAAATAAAGTTGTTATTCACAGTAAAACAGAGCAGGAAAGTAAATGGTTGGAGTTGTCGAAAATTTTGGTAAAGAGTGAACTATACAACTGGGGTGTTGGGTTGACAACGAAAAAAAATATAGATAGAAGAAAGAGGAGACATGAGTTTCATAACTAAAAGTCTAATTTAATTGTATATTTTTGTAACGAAGTATAATGAGAAAAAAGTGAGATGACAGTGAGAGAGTGAAAGCTGAAAAGTCGTGAGCAAATGTTAGGATGAGACTCTAATTTATACTTTTTATTAAAAAGTAAATGTTCGTTTAACATGAAAGGTGAAGGAAAGTGGTATTATGAATGAGAGCTGAAGTGATGTTTCAGGGGGGTTTATAACTGAAAGGTGAATTTAAGAAGAATGTACAAAAATGCTATGTAATACTTGAAAAAATACTATTGATGAATTTACTTTGATAGAAAGAGAATAAATTTCAAGTTGTAGATGAGTTAAGTGGAAAGGATGGATGTTAAAGAAAGTACTATGAAAGTGTACTTTAATAGTTGGATTGAACTGGTGAATGAAGGTATTGTGATGGTGTGATGAGTAGAT